TTCCCTCTCTGCTTTCCCCCCACTGACCCTGATTGTCTTTCATTTCTCCATCCACTGGAAGCTGTTTATCCACTGTGTGAATATTCCTGGTGTAACAGAAGAGTTGTGGACAGAGGAGAATGAGAGGGCCTTGGATCAGTTTATTGTGGATACATCAGTCACATCCATGGTGGTGTACAAAGACATCCATCTGGGGCTACGGGTGGAGTACTCCATACCATTACTGGTATAGCGCACTTTCCCCTTTCAGTCGTTTACTCGTTTTAATCAGTTTAGGTATTTGCATTGAATGTTTGAATCCCTTTGTTCTTTATTAAGCAGCTTTCTCCACCTTGCCTGAAAAGCTGATGTGCTCTACTCCTTTATGTTTCATTTCTTTTAATCCAGCTCCATCTCTCTGTTCTTTTTCTGTCTTTCTTCACCTCCACACCTAAACATTTTATATTATAGGAACAGGTGGTAGAGCGGCTGTTCTTTTTTAGGCGCATGCCAGGAGCAATAATCACAGCAGAGACGTTTGATACAGCCATACAGTTTGGCATGGTGTGGGGCGACATCACCCAGACACTGCTTCATGATATGACCTGCTCGCATGTCCCTCCAGTTTCCCTCACCACACATAGGGCGAAGAGCTTGATGGACAACTACACCAACAACATGCACTGCTATCTTGCCAGCCTTACAGGTGGGTACTTGAGAGCAAAACCAAACAAACAAACAAAAAAAAAAACTGTTGACTCCTATGTAGGTGATGTTTTGGCTTCATCGCTATGATTTGACACTGTGGCTTGTTAGTGACTTCTCCATAAAGTACATGATTAAAGAGCAACCTACAGTATACTGACAGTGTTTACGAAGCACCTTGGAAATATTTAGATGTCCCAGTTGTTTCACATTTTAGAAATATTTATATTTACAAGGTGTCATTGCAAAGAAAGGAACATCCTCAGTGTATGTTTATTCAGACTCTTTTTATGTGCATTCCCTAGACATAGACAGCCACTGGAAAATTACAACAGAAATAAATCAATCCATAAATAAGAACAAGAAAAGGCTTACTAGTGTTTCCTTGTTTTGTTTACATGTAGTTAACAAAAACTGTACTGTGTCTACAAAGAAAGGTAACCTAATATTTGTTTGATGACAGAGATAAGATTTCCCTCACATACTCAGTCCCCAAGAATAAAAGGCATTTTAAAGATAAGTCCTAGACTCCTACTTTGTTGCAGTGAAGCTCTCTTATGACTGCCAGCCATGTTCAAAGCATATGCATGTAAATAGAGGGCAAAGGTATTTTTATACACTCGGTATACAGGTTGCACTTGACATCAGGATGGTGAAGCACACTACATGTGTCACATTTGGCTTCAGCTGGTGTCATGTTCATAGGATTGCCAATATACTGTAACTTGATGAAATTTTCACAAAGCATTTACTTTATCCAATTTTATTTTTGAACAGATGGTGTGTACAAGAAGGCAGACAAAACAGTTCTATACATCCCAATGGAAGGCCTACAGTGCAGACCTGCTGAGGCCAGCAGTGACAAGAAACTGGTACAAAGAATGGAGAGTAAGTCTGAGGAGCTCTGTATGTAATTATGGTGGTCCCTTTTTCTTTCCACCTGTCACTGTGGAGTCTGAAAGATCACATTCACAGACTTCTGGTCTGTGAGTTTCTGTTCAAAGCAACTATAGCATTGGATTTCTATCTTTAGAGATTGTCTTTATTGAGGCAGTGTGTTCATCACCTGCACCAGTCCACCTGTTCACTGTTTTTATATGCATCATTTTTCTTTCTTGTTCTCTCTCTACTACTCTCCCCATATCCATGTTTTTATTCCAACTTGTCCTTGTCATCGTTCCACCCTTTGCAGTTCTTTGCTTCCTGCTTAATTCAGTTTTTACTTGTTCTGACTGTTTGTTTTCCTTTCATATTTATTTCTCCCTACCTACAGTATTTCCCTTTTGTTCCATTCACTTGTTTGTCTTCCTGTTTTTAGCTGTTATCATCCACTGGACAGATCAGATCAAGGAGCTACTGAATGCCCAAGAAATAACTGAGATGTGGAACGACTGTGGCCCACTGCAGGAGATAACCTTCTGGAAGAATCGCTCTGCCAAGCTGTTGGACATCAGCCAACAGCTGCAAAATCCCAGGGTCAGGCACATCCAGAGCATCCTGCAGCTGTCCAAGTCTGTGTATGTACAGCACTTCTGCAAAGTGGGCATGGAAATACAGGTACAAGAAATCTCAAATTTAAAATAACAAAGGCATACAGTAACACACTTTTTAATATTACCCTTTAGATCAAAGAACAATACTCAGTATTGTTGTAATATTATGTCATTTAAGGCCATCAGAAATATTCACACGGTTGTCATATGTCCTTTGTATGTATGTTCCCTAGGATTGCTATCTGCAGGCTAAGTCAAACCTGTTCTACCTGTCCATATTGAAGGGGCCCTGTGAAGACTTTGCCCGGCTGAAGCCTAGCCAAGTTGCCCCTAAACTGCGACACATTGTTAATCTCATTCGCATCATCTGGGTCAACTCCAAACACTATAACACTAGTGAGAGGATCACTGGTCTCTTCCACAAGGTATCAGCATTTTATAATTTCACAGTAATGGGGAGTAGTGTACCCATACCAGGTTTCTTCTATTGACCTCATTTCCTGTCTCTTTCTTTCTTTCTCTGTTACTGCTATTACTTTAAGACACATACACAATTTTGATATACTTTAGTACACAGACACATACTGCAATCCACTCTTCACATTTCTAACAGCTATTTGTAGAAAATTAAGTGGTGTGCTACTTCAAGGGCCTTTACAGAAGCAATCAGGTATTCTGCAGGTACAGACAGGTAATGTGTCATATTCTTGTAAAACCCCTTGAATTAAAGTTGAAAGTCTACACTTCTAAAACATACTGATTGCTTCATTTCAAATCCATTGTGGTGGTGTACAGAGGCAAAATTAGAAAAACTGTGTCCTCATCCAAATACTTATGAACCTGACTGTGGTGCCATATTAACTCATAACCTTTCACAATGAGAGCGTTCTTTCAGTTGTACTGCTGCTCTGGACTTCTAGCACCGGATCTGAGGCTGCAATTTTAACCCACACAAATGCAGTGTAAAGCACTGGGGAACACAATGTCTTTATTAGTATTATTTAATAAAATTTTCAGTTGGGGCTGTAAAAAGCCTTTGACTAGGCTTTTCCAGCTAATTACAAAGAGAAGGTAGGTAGACACAATAATAACCTTAGTGGGTGATAACCATAGTGACCACTGGGCGATCAGTTGCCACTGTGATATTTATAGATGCAGCTGATGTTGTCTTGATTTTGTTTACAACTGTATTACAAGTCTGGTGTCCTTTGCCTCCTCTACATTTGTTGAAGAAACTGTATATTTATTTTTTTTAATTTTGTTTTACCAGTAATGTGATTAGTCAGCCTGATGTAGATGTATTTAATCAGTGTGCAGACTCAAAACCATAATGTACAATATAGTTTTGCGGGGTTTGTGTAAAAGTCATTATTATATGCTAATCATTTGAGGTTATAATAAATCTTAATATGTAACTTGGTGATTGTTTTCTGCTCTGTTGTAGATGAGTAATGAGATCATCCGCCTATGCTCCCAAAGCATCTCTCTGGACAGGATCTTTGAGGGCTATGTATTATCCAGCACGAAAAACCTCAGTGACTGTATCCAGTGCTGCCTGTCTTGGAAGGAAATTTACCTGCACGCCTTGCAAATTCACCACAAGTACGACAAATCTCACTTGTGTAGAGACTCAACAAATGGTCATATGGGAGCCTGTGAGGACTGTGTTATGTCTTAAATGTTCAAATGTGAACACATTTGATTTCATATTATACAGTACAGGTTTAGTGTAAAAGTGAATTGATATTTAGTTCAGGCAAAGTGTTAAGTTGGCAAAAATTTCATTGTGATCAATACATAAATATATAGGGAAATAGTTACTTAGGATTTGTGTTTTATTTTCTGGCACTAAGCAGTGAAATTGTGCCTGTTCATGTTTACTAAGGAGTCACAGTGGGGTGTGAACAGAAGAAATGTGGCTCTGCAGGAACTTAAGAGTTTGGTCTCATGCAATATGTATTTTAAGGTGTTCCCGTTCAGGATGCAAAAATCAAGGAGGAGAGAATGGAAATTCATACAAATACCCTCAGTGCCTGATTTACCACTGGCAGCAGAAAGCAGGTGTAAAATCTAGGCACTGCTGTCAGTGCGGCAGCTGTTAATCATCTCAGACCTCTTCCAAGTGGGGAGGGAGAGGGTGTTTGTAAATTGCATCTCTCACCAGAGAAGAATCTGAGGGACTTTTACAGGCTCTCAGATCAAACCATGCTTCAATCACTGAACGAAATAGATGATTTGGCAGAATTGAAGTTCTGACCTGCTCGTCTTGATTTCTTCAGCCATTTTAAAGTTTGGTCACTGTAAACCTAGACTTTCTCATATACTTCCTTTAGGTCCATATGTGCCCAACAGCATTCAGACAGCTGATCTGAAGCGGAGGTGTATTCAAATTAACACAGCTGTGGCTGTGTTCATTTAATGTACATCATCAGTGTTGGCAAATATACCATTAAATTAAAAAAATTGCGGTGCTGCAGTATTTTTCATGCCTTATGGTCATTTGCGACAGGTTTAGTAAATATCCCCTATAGTGACTTAAAGAGCATCGGCAACACAGCAAAGCCTTGATTTGGAAGAGTTTAGGCTGGAGATGTCCTCAGATCTTTTGGAAGTTTGTTCTAGATATGTCATACATAAACAGCAACTAAAGTGTGTTTCACCATGCCTCAGCCTTAGAACAGTAAACAAACCAATCCCAGACATACACAGATTTGGAGGATTTTGTAGTCTGATCAGGGATGTCCTGTGTGATTAGCTTGCTGTCAGTGTAACAGTCTCTTTAATTCTTTGTGCGACTCTACTCCCTCTCCCCTTTCTCCTCTTTTTATCTCTTCTGTTCCCCTCGCTGTTTTCAGGTATTCTTCAACAGGCTGGGTCCTGGACCAAACCAGCTTTTTTGTGGTGGTTGATGCTTTTGTTCAAAGGCTCAGAGACCTGCTGGAGGTGAATTTTGTATTTCATTCACTTATTATGAGAATTTATGCTGATGAAATTCATGTCAGACCAAGTGATGACCTCTTGTAAATAAATGCTAAAACTATGGCAAAGGTTCCTTATGATAAAGTACCAGTAGATGCTGCCTTTAAATATTGTTTATTATTGCGGCCAAAGAATGACATCAGTTATATACCAACCCTTCCATACAAAAAAAATACAAACGAGATTACACAGCAGATTGTGATGCAGAAGTTTAAAAATGGAGGTGCTTCTTTCATAAGACAGATTTACTCCATAAAATGAGGTTATGTCACAGTAAGATGGGCATTATCCAGTCACAGCTGCATTCATTATCAGAGTCAGCTTCTATAAAGTTATTTGGTTTGGCTTTGCTTTCGGTTTTGAGAGCTCTTATTTTGATTTAACTTCCTGCCTTGTTATCATGCCACCTGCCCCAGCTTTACCCAAGTACAAATCATCGATCATTGTTTGTACCTGTTGCTTATTATCCATAAGTGTTATGACTTCTAATATGAATGAGGTTGAGTTATGACCACAATATGAAATGATAAATTGAATTTGATATATGTTCCCTCTATGGTTTAACAGAGTCAAGTCGAACACAATATAAAGATAAGCTTTTGTTTGCTTTCTTTTCTCATTTTGTTTCCACTCTGTCTTTATATGTTTCTACCCTCTATCCCTGCTATTGTTAAAAAGGCCTCTGTAGATATAATCTAATATACTGTAAATCAATGGAATATGATTTCCAGTGTATTTAGTCTTCAAAACATACAGTAATTTTACAAATTTGTGTTCTTATGTGTTAATACTTACTGTTTTATTAATATTTACTGTGATGTAAATGATATGTGGGAGGTATTACTTTTTCTTGCCTTTTTCAGGTATGTGACTGTCAGTATCAGTTTGGCCGTTGGGAGGATGGTCAGCAGAGGGCCCTGCCATGCTTCAGTGGTATTCATGAACCACAGTTAACCCAGTCCCTCCTGAACATAGAGGAAATCTTTCACAATGGACTACACAACCTGCGCTCTGGTGGCAAAGGCATCCTTGATGTCAAAAACACCACGTGGTGCAATGAATTCAACAAGTAGGTCTACTGATCTTTAACACATTCAGTCTAAGACTAAATAAAAAAAAAAGGACAGTATTTAGCATGGTTTAAAAAAAACCAAATGTGTTATTTGGTTGAAAAGAATGAAATACTGGATAATCATCATTAGCATCCACCATTACCTGAAAATGTATCAAGTGTTCTGATGTTACCTGTGAGTGCTCTATCATAATTTCTGCTAAGTTTTACTCTTCAGCTTTAGCTTATGCCTGTCTGCTCTGTGTGTGTATGCTTTTCTGTTTTAGTGTACATTTGTTGTATTTACCATCTAACTCTGATGCATACATGTTCCTCTGTATGACTGTGTTCTCCTGTGTATACACAGGTTTCGTGCCTTGGTAAAGGTTCTAGAAGTTGCAGTGCAGAAGCTGATCAGTTCAACATTTAAGACAGTGAACACAGTGGAGGAAGGAGTTTGGCTTCTGGACAGTTTTAGGCGTATGTCTACTCGAAAGGTATCTCTGTGCACACATGCATACTGACATACAGTATATTCAAGTCCTCAGTTGGCTTTCAGACCATTACTCAGTTAAACTTTATATTTATTAAACCTTTACAGTGTATATAGCTATTAGAAGTTCATTGTTGGATGCCTGTGCTCAGTGCAGTTTGCTATGGCTGATCCACACTAAAGTCAAACTTCCTCCATTAAAGTGGCCATGGCATGCTGTTCTCGCAACTTTATATAAATCTCACAAACTCTCGCTGGCAAGAATTTTTTTCCAACTATGTAAAGTATTACATGATAGTTTAAGGATCTCCTTGAATGATCATAATCTCCAGGCAGTTGTGCGTTCATTCTCAAACTTTCTATGTCACTCAACATTACCTGTCTTCTTCTCTTCTCTTACCCTCACGTGATTTATTGACTTAATCGCTTCAATTCAATCTTCTCCATTTAAGGCCATTAAGCACACTATAGAAGATATGATGGAGGAAGTGTACATCATCTTCAACAGGGAGCTCAAAATGATCAACAAAGAGCTGAACCAAAGGACTAGGCCTTATCCTGACCATATGCCCCAAATAGCAGGCAAGGCCCACTGGGCGAGGGCCCTCAGACATCGCTTAGACAGACCTATGGAGGTGATTCCATTAGATTACACACTCATCTATTCCTCTTAGTTTGGCAGACACACACTATATGCTAGTGGTGTTGAAAGTAAAGAACCTCAACTTCTTCACCTTTTGTCCCCTTTCCTTCCCTTCCAGGTGCTTCAGAAGGCCCATGTCATAACTGAGTCAAACAGCTACAAGCAGGTAGTTTTGACTTATGGCCAGGTGGTTCAAGTTTTGGATGAGATAGTGAGGAACAATTTCAACATGTGGAACCAGAAACTAGATGGACAGTACTTCAAGAGACTGGAGCGGCCACTCTTGGTGCGCTGCAAGGACAAGAATGCCAAGCTAAACATCAACTTTGACAAGTGGGTTACACTCAGCATACACACAAGAGAGACACAGAGTGTTCTCATTAATATAGACATTCATATGGAATCTTACTCTTTATAGTGTTGTCTTTGTAATTGTGACATACACAAACCCACACCCATACATCCTTAAACACCCACACACATACTGTATCTTTAAACTATCACATAATACTTTATTTTGTTAGAAAAAAAAAAGTCCTGCAAGCGAGATTTTTGAGAGACTTGTATAAACCAAGTTGCTTCTGCACGGAAGTACTAGAACATAAGTACATCTCATTTCTTTGAGCTTTAGGTCACATCTAAGATGATAATTCACCGTTGTAACATTGTAGATAAGTCAGAAACAAGGAAAAGCATGCCGTGGACTCTTCCAATTATATAGTCTAGTAGAAAATGAACAATGTGACACAAACACAAAGGTTTGTATACATTTGTGCATATACATGACACATGCATCACTATTTAGTTTGGTTTCTTTCTGTTTTCTTGTCAAA